TGGAGGAATCTTACCTGAAGGATGAAGGTATTATGGTAAAAGGCATCTTTTAAAAAAATTCCTGGATCAGACTGGGAAGGAACAATCCTAGTTAGACAACGATAAGAAACTGCTTCCTTGAGTCTTCTCCACGGTAATAGCAAGATGTCTCCTAGGAGCTGAGTTGTGGTAGTACTGACAACATGAAGTCAGTTAAGGAGCTGTGAAAGTACTCCTGAGGTTAGGCTATACTGAATGGGTGAGAGCCTTTGAACCCTGGGAGGAAGCCACTGAACAGACACCTGTATTCTAAATGCCAATGTTTTTACATTTCTTGTGTTCTTTGTTTGTGTTTCACTTAGATTTTAGTAAAATCTATTTGAAAGTTTTAGCCTGCTTCAGTCCAACTAAGGAGAGCCAAAGGAAAAAATTTCATTCGAACTGAGAATCGTGGACCCCTAGGGTCCAATGACAACTATTAGGTAAACTAAAGGGTTTCAAAGTGATTCTGATAAAACTCAAGAAGACATGGTCTCTTTTCCAATAGCAAACTTGCTCTTATTAGGATTGGTTTCAATTGGTTTAATTGGGAAATGATATTTTCTTTGTCATTATATACTTGCAGTTACTACCAAGGAAATTAATCAAGTGAACGGCACTCCCTCTTTCATCTCTTTCTTATTTTCCTCTTCTCTAGTCTGTTTTGAAGACTTTTTTTTTTAAAAACATCTTTATTGGAATATAATTGCTTTACAATGGTGTGTTAGTTTCTGCTTTATAACAAAGTGAATCAGCTACACATATACATATCCCCATATCTCCTCCCTCTTGTGTCTCCCTCCCACCCTCCCTACCCCACCCCTCTAGGTGGTCACAAAGCACCAAGCTGATCTCCCTGTGCTATGCGGCTGCTTCCCACTAGCTATCTGTTTTACATTTGGGAGTGTGTATATGCCCACGCCACTCTCTCACTTCGTCCCAGCTTACCCTTCCCACTCCCCATGTCCTCAAGTCCATTCTCTACGTCTGCGTTGAAGACTTTTTTTAAAACTCATTGATACATGTCAAAGAAGTAAGGGCTGGAAAGAACAGAGGATTGTGTGAAATAGGAGATAGACAACTATTTAAAAAATCTTTTTACTAAATATCCTGTATATTTTTCAAATTTTTAAAAATAATTTTACACTTCTATTAGAGGTTTAGTTGTTTATAATTAAGCAATTTGAATATAAAAGTTAAAGACAACCATGAATAGACTATTGAAATGTATCATCAGCTCACTTTCCTAGGTGCAAATGGGAAGTCATCAACCAGTCTCAGACCAGTAAAAACTTGTCCGTTGGTTGGTTGGTCTGTTTGGTTTTGGATATATGACAGTGGTTTTTGAGATACTAGTTCTCAGAATAAATCAAGCACAAATAGTAATATTTCCTTACTAGCCAATAATTTGTGTAAAGTTAAGGAAATTTGTGAGCATGGGTATTTGAAGAGAATATTTGTGACTCTTTTCATGTGAGCCTAATTGGAGGTGATGAAGGAGGGTGGTCTTCCAAGGGCAAATGTGCAGAAGAGCATAAAGATCATATGAGGCACAATATTTCTTTCTGGCTGTTTTTAAGATTTTCTCTATTATTGGTTTTGAGCAATTAGATCGTGGTGTGTCTTGGTGTAGTTATGTATCTTCATGTTTCTTTTGCTTGGAGTTGAATTTTTTTGGATCTGTAGTTTATAATTTTCATCAAATTTGGCAGTTTTTCTGCCATTATTTTTTCAAATGTAATGACCTTGTCTGCTAATGCTACTGTCTTGTCGGTTTGAGGTTAGTTTTCATTGATTGAGTTCTCTAATTATGTATCATTCATGTATGTCTTTTAATTTTGATTGAATGCGAGACATTGTGAATTTTACCTTGTTTGGTGCTGGATATTTTTGAATTTCTGTAAATATTTTTGAGATTTGTTTAGCTGAAACACAGTTAAGTTGCTTGGGAAAAGTTTGATCCTTTCAGATCTTTCTTTTAAAATTTGTTAGGCAGGACTAAAACAGTGCTCAGTCTAGTATGGATTATCCCCTAACTAGTAAAGCGAGATCCTTCCGAGTACTCCACCTGATGGCCGTGAATCTTGAGGTTTCCCAGTCTGGTTGGTAGGAACAGGTACCAGATACCCAGCCTGTATGAGCACCTGGCACCGTCACCTCCAGTCCTTTCAGGTGGTTCTTTCCTGGTCTCAGGTAGGTTCCTCACATGTACCCACTGCTCATTGTTCAGCTGAATACTGTGGATCTCTGGAGTTCTCTCTCCATGCAGTGCTCTCCTCTCTAGTACTCTCTCCTGGGCACTGTAGCTACTTTGATCTCCCTGGACTCTCAGTTCCATCTCCTCATCTCAAGGGAGTCTGCCAGGCTCCACCTGGACTCTTCCTCCTTATGCTGTAGCCTGGAAATTAACCCAAAGCAATAAGCTGGGGCAATCATAGGGTCTGACTGTGTTTGTTTTCTTTTTTTGTTGCCTGAAGTCCAGTTTCTTGCAAACTGTCGTTTCATATATTTTGCCTCTTTTTTGGTTGTTTCATGCAAGAGTGTAAATCTAGTCCCTATTATTCCATATTGTCCAGAAGCATAAGTCTGAAGTGTAGGATTTTAATTTGGGGTAGAAACTAATTTCAAGAGAAGCATGTGAAAGCGATTTCCAACATTAGTAGAGGATTGGTTAAGTTATGATGTATCCATAAAATAGAATATTATTCAGCTGATTGAAAAAAATGAAGTGCAGTTATCTGTTTTAGCATGGAAAACTGTCTAAGGTATTTAGTGAAAATATCAAATTCATCCTTTTATTTCATCATTCAAGAAACATTTATTGAGCTTCTATTTTATAGCAGCCACCATGTTAGGCATTTGGGATCCAATAATAAGCAAGAGAAACATTGCTCTGCTTTTAAAAGCTTGCTGATTTAAATTCTAGTGTGTGGGTGGGAGTGGAGTAGAAAATAAACAGATAATTAGGTGATTGTTTATAATGATAAATTCTGTGACGGAAATATGTAGGATTATATTCTAAAGTGAATGGGTAAAATAAGACACAAGGCTGTATTGTACAACACAGGGAATATAGCCAATGTTTTTAAATAACTGTAAGTGGAGTATAACCTTTAAAAAATGTGAATCACTGCAATATATACCTGTAACTTATATAATACTGTACGTCAACCATATGTCAGGAAAACGAATAAATAAAGTGAACGGAATAGGGAACCTACTTCAGATAAAATGATCAGGGAAAGCCTCTGTGAGGAAATGACTTGATCTGAGACATGAAGGACAAGGAGCCAGTCAACAAAACAATATCCCAGGCAGAGGGAGCAGCAAATGCAAAGTGCCCAAAAAAGGAAAGAACTGGGTATGTTTGAGAAGCTGGAAAAAAGGAAGAAAGGAAGAGCAAGGTTAGCAAGGACAAGAGTGGTCAGAGGTTGTAGAAATTTTCAGGAACCACAGACCATACAGCACTGTAGGCCTTGCTTCGGAGTTTGGATTTTATTCTGAGTTGCAGAAAAGTGAAGGGTAGTATCCATTTATGTAATACTGCAAAATGATATTGCTATAGATGCATGTAAGATTTCCAGAAGGATATATAGATATGATTGATTAACCATGGTTACCTCTGAAGAGTAGAAATAGGGTCTAAGGGAGTAGGGCAGAAAGGGTTTTCTTTATGCCTCTCATTACTGAATATTTTACCTTGGACATATATTACTTTTCAAATTGAATAAAGTAGTGGATTTATATATATATATTTTTTTTT